GAACTACCTTATCTGCTGATTCATAAACCTTCTGTCTTGCCAAAGGAACACTTAATTTGCTAATCCCCATGCAGGACATCTGTGCACTTATCCAGCAATTCAGAGCTTCCACAACCTTCTTGGCATTAGTTGAAATAGAAAGACAAAATTGACTATCAACATATTGAAAAGAGCATTTTTCAATATCAAATTGTTACAAATAGAGAAGCTCCCAGTTGCTTTATGTCTGGATGGATGATTTACCTGCTAATATAATGACAGATGATCAGACCAAAACAAAGCTGATTCCAATTTCAATTTTATCACTAATAATAGGTTGACATTGTTAAGAAACATGGCCATCTCAGTGTTTATACCTAGTTGTTAATCATTTACAAACATCTTCAAAGCATTTGGTCCAACACCAAACTCTGGAGCATCCATCTTGCTAGTATGAAAATTATTTTTTTATTTTTTTTTATTTTTATTTATTAAAATTTATAAACCGCCCCACTCCCGCAGGACTCCGGGCGGCTAACAATAAAAACACAATATAACTTAACAAGACAAACAATACAGTAACATTCATCCAGGGGTCAGATTTTATAAACCCCAGGCCTGCCAGAAAAGCCAGGTCTTAAGCAGCTTGCGGAAAACCAACAGGGTGGAAGCGGTCCTAATCTCCGGGGGGAGCTGGTTCCAAGACATGGGCGCCATCACAGAGAAATCCCTCCCCCACGGCCCCACCAAATGGCACTGCTTGGCCGACGGGACCTGAAGGAGGCCCAGTCTGTGGGATCTAACCGGACGAAGGGAACTATGAGGTAGTAGGTAGTCTCGCAAATAGCCTGGCCCTGAGCCATATAGAGCTTTAAAGGTAATATCCAACACCTTGAATTGGACCCAGAGACCAATAGGCAACCAGTGCAGCTCGCAGAGGATAGGTGTAACGTGGGTGTACCGAGGAACACCCGCTATCACTCGCTATCATTCTGGACCAACTGTAGTTTCCAAATACTTTTCAAGGGTAGCCCCATGTAGAGCGTGTTGCAGTAGTCCAAGCGTGAGGTGACAAGGGTATGAGTGACTGTAAGGAGAGCCTCCCGGTCCAGGTAGGGTCGCAACTGGTGCAACAGACGAACTTGTGCAAAGGTCCTCCCAGCCACAGCCGTCAAATGATGTTCCAACTTCAGCTATGGATCAAGGAGGACACCCAAGTTGCGAACCTGCTCTAAAGGGGGTATATTTTGCCCTGCTAGAGTCAACACTGGACAGTTAACATGATCCTTGGGAGGCAACATCCAAAGCCACTCGGTCTTGTCAGGATTGAGCCTGAGTCTGTTACCCCCCATCCAGACCCTCACGACTTCAAGGCAACGGCCCATCACATCAGCCGCTTCACTGAGAGAGCTCGGGGAAGAGATATATAGCTGGGTATCATCAGCATACTGATGAAACCTCATCCCATGCTGTCTGATGATCTCACCCAGCGGCTTCATGTAAATATTAAATAGGAGGGGGGAGAGGACCGACCCTGCAGCACCCCACATTCAAGGGGCCTCGGGGTTGACCTCTGCCCCCCCACCAGTACCGATTGCAACCGGCCAGAGAGGTAGGAGGAGAACCACCATAAAACGGTGCCTCCCACATCATCCGTGTATTCCTCCTATATGGTTTTCATAAATTCCTCCTATATGATTATTATAAATTCATCTCTCACTTGACAGTTTGTCTGTCCTATTCCTCAACCATGAAGATAGAAGCAAAGAATGCATTCAGTTCCTCTGCTATTTTCTTAACCTCTTTTAGCACACCTTGAATACCTCAATCATAACCATTTAGGGCAGTGATGGTGAACCTTTTAGAGACTGAGTGCCCAAACTGTAACCCAAAACCCATTTATGCATCATTGGGTGCTGGGTGGGTGTGACCCATTGGGTGAGTGTGGCCCATTGGGTAGGCATGGCTGCAGTGGTAATGCAGACTGGGTGGGACTAAAAAGTTCAATCAATCAATTCCAACTTTGCAAGATCCTTTTTTTTCCCATGAGAAGTTGAAATTAACTGATTGATTGAACCTTTTTTTTTTTGTACACGGCGGTGGAGGCCTAAAGTGAAAAGGTTTTATAAAACCCAGCTGAAGGCTTAGGATTGGTGTGCATGCCCACAGAGAGGGCTCTGAGTGCTGCCTCTGGCACCCGTGCCATAGGTTCGCCACCACTGATATAGGGTATCTAGATACAAATAATTTACTTCTATAAATTATAAATGTTTATAACTGAACTCTTTACTTTGCAAAATTCCTTTTTCTTCACCAGTCTTCATCAACCTTCTCCAGGAAAACCACAACACCACTCTATTATATAAAATTATGCTAATTTAATGGTTAAATTGTGTGCTGTTATTAGTGACCTGGCAACTGTGAGGTATGATCATTTTGGCAATTTATTTTTATGGTAATGCAGAATACAGATAAATTTATGTGCTCAGGTTGAAACTTGGAATGAAGAGGCAAGAACTGACCAGTTTAATATCCTATCTAAGAACCTACATACAGAGCTAATTGTACAGGCTATTCAAGTCACCCTGGAAGCTTAAACCAAAGTGGTGTGATTACAGACAGGTGACTCTAATGAGAGAAACTGAGGCAGAAATATGGAGTGAAGAGGTCTTAAAACAGTAGGTAGTATGAGAAACATATCAAATGCAGAAATATGGAGTGAAGAGGTCTTAAAACAGTAGGTAGTATGAGAAACATATCAAATGGATGACAGCAGCTTTTGCCTTTGTAACATAATCATATAGGTGATTTTTTTTGAAAGCTAAAACCCAGTTGGAAGACCTTTATTATGTACCATATAGTTAGGTGTGGGTATTTGCATATTCCTAGCTGAAGAATGGATAGAGACAGAATAACATTCAAAGGAAAAGGATGAGGGAATTAATAAAATGGATTGACATGAACATCTCAGCTAGCATTTGATTCCCTGGTATGCTCTCTTTGAAATCGTCTGTCTTCCTAAAATCAGAGCCTGGGCAATGGGCTGCTGCAAATCAGCAAGTAATGTTTATTCCATACTTAGAATGGAACGGATGGGGGCAGTGGTAGGATTCAAATATGTGAACAACTGGTTCTCTGTGTGGATGCCACTTCTGGAAGTCCATTCTGGGCCTTGGCAACAAAATATTAGCTACCAGTTCTGCCGAAGTGGTGAGAACTGGCTGAATCCCACTACTAACAGGGAGGTAACCATTCTTTAACAAAGAACCAGAATTCTCTCTCTTCTTCTCTTCAGGGCTTCTTTCACTTCCTTGTTTCTCAGGCTGTAGATCATAGGATTCAACATGGGAATCACAAGTGTGTAGAAAACTGAAGCTATTTTATCGGTACCGAGGGAGTGATTTGTGCTTGGCTGCAAATACATAAAGATCAAAGTTCCATAGAAGATGGTGACAGTTGTCAAGTGAGAAACACAGGTAGAGAAAGCTTTGTGTCGTCCTTGAGCAGAGCTGATTCTTAGGATGGCAGACAGAATAAACACATAAGAGATAAGAACAATAAGAAGGGAAAATATCATATCAAAGCCAGCAAAAGCATAGATCAGTATTTGTTTGGTGCTGGTATCAGAACAGGAGAGGGCCAAGAGTGGGAGATCATCACAATAGAAATGGTTAATCACATTTGAAGAACAGAATGACAGTCGGAATGTAACTATGGTGTGGAACAGGGCAACCGAAAAGCTATATATGTAAGGTGCAGCTACTAACTGGACACAGACTCTCTGGGACATGATGGATCGATAAAGCAATGGATTACAGATGGCAACATAGCGGTCATATGCCATCACTGCCAGCAGGAAGCACTCTGTGATCATGAAAGTCAAGAAAGAGCCCAGCTGGGCTGCACAAGCATGGAATGAAATGGTTTTCTTAACTGCTAACAGGTTTGCCAGCATTTTGGGGGCAATAACAGAGGAATAGCAGAGATCAACAAATGCCAAGTGGGTGAGGAAGAAATACATAGGAGTATGTAGCTGTCTGTCAGTCTGAATCAAAATGATTATGCCCAGATTTCCCATTAAAGTGATGCTGTAATTCAAAAGGAAGATGGCGAAGAGGGGCATCTGCAGCTCAGGACGATCAGTGATTCCAAATAAAACAAATTCCTTCACTGTACTCACAGTTGAATTGATATCTGCCATTTATTCCATCACTTCAATTAAGTTCTGCTCAGGAAATGGGTGCAGAAGGAACACACTTTCTTCTTTAATGTTCAGTCAGTTCAGTCAGTTCAGAGATGATAATTTTTTTTTGGTTCTACCTCATTTATTCTACTGATACAGATATCCTAATATCATTTTATCTGCACCATCTGAAATGATTTTAGAGCCATACCATGAATATTTGTTCCCATTATAAAAGCGCATTATATTTCATAAAGCACTTGGATGCCACAGCAATATCAGGAAAATAGCTTATGTGCAATAAGCTTTGTGTCCTGTTTGAATAGCTGGAAAAATGTTAGGTTCCATCTATCAATCCATGATGAATATTGGCACTTTATCTTAGCAAGCAAACATCAACACATACACAATAAGATGGACCAGGAAAGCTAAACCACGCTTATATCAGATGTACTAAAAAGTCCAGAATTGGGCTCAAGACTCAACTGTCTGATAAAGTTTTACATACACATTATAGAATCTTGATCGTTTCTCTCAGGTTGCTTGTTTCTGTACAGAAAAAAAGGCACATATTTAGAAAAATTATAAGCCACATGCAAAATTTTTATTTCATCATATGGCTTTTCAGAAGATCTTCTAAGAAAGCAAGGCCACACAAACAATTGATACCTATGAGATTTTCACCTTCAATTTGAACCTCATCCACTTAACATCTCATTGAAAGTTGCTTAGTCAGCAGAATTTGATATAGAACTTAGCTATATGTAATGAAGGCTACTCAGGGTATTTCATCTTGATATTATGAACTGACTCACTTAGCACTATCTGAAACTCACTGCTGTTAGAAAGACGTATTGGCAATTATCTCATTGAAACAGATCACTCTCAAGGGGGAGGAGCCAAGATGGTGGACAGGCAGCAAAGGCTGTAAAGAGCTCCTCCAAAAGTAAAAGCTTTATTTTATTTCATTTTAACTTTTTAATCCTTTTTAACACTGCATTTAATCTATTTTAACCCATTTTTAACCTATTTTAACCTATTTTTAACCTATTTTTAAATCAGTTTTAACCCTTGTTTGACTTTTTATAATAGTCAAAGACTTTTTATAAAGGATATATACTGATATTATGAACTGTCCTGGCTTGTGTTTTGAAAATGAGATATCATACCTTTTTTGAAATTTTGATGGAGCAAAAGAGATTTAGAAAATTGTATTTTAAGAAAAAGGACATTGAGAAATGGATTCTTTTCTAAGGAAAAATAAATGTTCAGAAATGCATGTTTAAAAAGTTTCAGTACTATTTTTTTTTTAAAAAATCCATTTCAATACATAGTGAACATTTTATTATTTTTTTTTTAAAAAAATCTGAAAAAACTTTGTTTTCCAGAAGGCAAGTCTTGGAGAATTTGTGAGCTATTCCAGTTTGAGACTGATGTCTAAAAAACCCCAAACCAATGAATTACTAGGTTATTCCCAGACAAATGCACATTATTTACTCTGAGATTCTCCCCATCTAAATGTGATTGCAGAGGACCAAGAGGCACTTTTTAGCTTGGTGTTTTTCCCAGCCTACCTGCGTCTGCACATTCTCTTCCATCTATTGTTTGCAGATGCTTGTCCTCATCAGGTATCTGCCTAGGTATGAGTGCCTTTGCCTCTCTAATAATCTGCTTTCAGAGATTTCTCAAGGTCTTCTGCTCCTCAGATATTTTCCTTGTGAGACTTAACTCCTCAGGGAGAGGAGCTGAGCTTGTAAATAATAGATCTATAATGATGGTGAGATGAAGAAAATATAAATTCAAAATGCACATTCTAGATTTTCAAGTGTCAGCGAATTTCTGAAAGCAATTTCTCAACTATTCAAGTGATTATCTACCATATTATTCTAGGTTGATGGTACAAGTATTGATGCCTTAATGTCCCATGAAAAGCTGAGACGAAGACAAACAAAAAGCAAAGCAATTGAGCTTCATGAGCTATCACTGGTCTGTTATACTATAAATCTTTCAACAAATGCCAAGGAAGAGCAAGTGTAGGGTATGAAATAGGAATCAGCAAAATCTTGAAACAATAAAAGAGAGAGTTTTTGCCATACAAATTATTCCAGTGGTGCAAGGCTACTTACTCAGAGAATGTTTCTCAACCTTGACTACTTTACAATGTGTAGACTTCAACTCTCAGAATTCCCCAAGCTAACTGGTCTAAGATACTGAAAACTAATTACTATTTTACTACTAAAATTATGCATGTTTGCTTCCTATATTAATAAAAAGGCCACAATTATGAATTTTCAGCCAAAACTCTGAGTGACAATCAAGACCAAGCAGGGCCTTTTAGAAGTAGTAGCTAGCCAACTCTCTGTCAGATATTTTACAATGGACAGAGAGGTGGAATTCTTGGTGGGAGATTGTGGCACAGTGCAAGTGCAACTGGGGCTGTACAACACAGAAGCATAGAATGATGCTATCATCTGGCAGCAGTAGATGGGGAGAAGTTATCCTGGAACACTAGACAGTATTACGTGACCTCTTCAATATTGAACGTAAATGTCATAACTTGATAAGCAATTTGAGGTAAAATAAATAACATCTCTTATTTTAAAATGAGGTTGATAACACAAAACAACATTGCTTCATGCCCTTTAGATGCTTCAAAAGAGTTCAGTAAGGATTGGTTGCAATTGCCTTGGTGGGGGAGATGTAATTTCAGAGTCGAAACATAAACTCATGTCCAGATTTGTCCTATTAATGGCCACATTTTGGACTAACTCACAAAGCTGTTAATACAACTTGTAGACTGTATATTAAAAATGCACAGGTTCTTCACGTCTAAATCTTGTCTACATCAATGAAGACCTCAAGAACTGTAGAGTTTTTGAGAATGTACTGTAGTCAAACTAAAAATTATTATGCAACACTAGAAAAAGAAAACAGCATTGGATTTGTTGATTTCTGTTGTGATTTGAACTATTTTTTTATTTTTGACAAAGGGACAAAAAAGGTGACTTTCAAACAGTATCAACAATGTTTCACAGTTGTCCTACTTTGTAATATATAAACCTTTAGGACAAAAGTGTCTCTAATTGGGTTCAACAGACAGACATAAATTACTCACAGACACCCCCCCACCCATTTTCATTATTCTGCTCTGCATCAACAAACATAAAAACAAATGTCACAAGAGAATGAGAACCTTCAGGGAAATTTAAATCAGAGTTTAAATAAATGGAGCCCTTATCCACTCAGCAATCTCTGCAATGCTGTCACTATTTCATTCCCAGGTAAGCTGTATATTCTGAGAACAGTGTTAACAGAAAGAGGTCTTGGAAATTTTGGCTAGAAGCTCTAGCTTACAGCAGTCCCACAAGATTACCTGTGTGGGTCCCTCAGAACACAGAAATGGATGCATTGAGATTATAATTATTTCTTCTCCCACTGGAAGCAATAGAAGAAATTCAGGGGGAAAAATCCTATTAAAGATAAGTATTGGAAAAAGTAACTTCCTATTCTTTCTGTAAGATTCAGGAAGTCTTGGTTCCTATCAAAGAGTCAATATATTTGGAAAAACCATCATACCCAAAGTTCTGGTGTTCTTTCGAAAATAGGGGGTAAGTACATATTTGTCTCCTTCTGTTTATTTACAGAGAATAGATTCTGCTCTGTCATTGGCTACCCTTAGAATAAATGAAGATAAAAGGTTTTTCCAACTATCCGCTGATTATTAACCATGGTGTCCCTGTCCTGATAAACAGCTTGTCTGAATTAACTTGCCAGAGCACCAAGACGATGTTATCAACCAATGGTAATTGTGTACTTAAACTGATCCCCGGCAAGTCACCTTCCAAATGGCAACTAAATGTGATAGAATGCTTTCAGGGACAAATGCAATGTGAGACTCAAGAAGGAGACAGAAAACCGTGTTTTCCTGGCCATCTGCTGGGGCATAGCGAAGTGTTACACAGCAAAGATTATGAAAATCTGTATTTACAGTGAGCAGGAAAAGGTAGAAAATGGAAGTAAATCATAGTAGAATAGTAAGGAAGACCATACTCTAGCATGTAGTATCTCATCCTGATGAAATTTATGAGATCTCAAGCTGTATATTGTGCTCTAATTTAGTGTTATTAAAAGGAACAATGAGTCTTCTTGATTTGAAAAGAGGGCATAGCCTTAGAGATTGAGTTAAACTCATCTCTTATACATTTTTTCTCTGTCTTAACACATTTTTACACCACCACATGTTTAAGGGATGGCACTGAATCCAAGGCTAGAAGATATATAAACTTGCATTAGGTTACATTGAAATTTGAAGGAAAAAAAATCACATACCCTACAGATTTCAAAGTAATGTAGTCTCATTTAAATAATGCACACTCTATGGGAAAGGCAGAAATTTTATCAGTCCCAGTGTTTTAGTTACAAGTAGTAAATTCCAGTCTTTGTCTAATTGCATTTTTTTCTCCCAACAATTAATGTACAAAGAAGAAATTTCTATGTGGAATCACACACGGGTCTCCAGCTTCATTCTCCTGGGCATCACAGATCAAAAGGAGCTACAATTGCCTCTCTTTGTGTTGTTTCTACTGATATATATTATTACCCTGATGGGGAATCTAGGAATGATCTTGCTAATCAAGACAGATTCTCGACTCCACATTCCCATGTATTTTTTTCTCGGTAATTTGGCATTTGTAGATGTCAACTATTCTTCAAGCATTATACCCAATATGTTGGTGTTTCTCTTAACAGAAAGGAAAAATATTGGATTCTTTGCATGCGCCACTCAAATGTTTATATTTGTTATATGTGGAAGCACTGAATGTCTTCTTCTGGCTGTGATGGCCTTTGATCGGTATGTGGCTATTTGTCACCCTCTGCATTATTCAGTGATCATGTCAGGAAAAATCTGTGTCTGGTTGGCAGCTATTTCATATTTTCTTGGCATTTTCTATGCAGTTTTACACACCACACTCAGTTTTTCTTTATCCTTTTGTGGATTAAACATGATCAATCATTACTACTGTGATATCCCCCCACTCTTAAAGCTTTCTTGCTCTGATACTCACATCAATGAGACTATAATATTTGCACAAGTGAGTATAAACTGTGTAGGCACTACAGTAACTATTTTGTTCTCCTATGCCTCTATCTTAATCACCATTTTAAAGATCCGTTCTACACAGAGCAGACGCAAGGCCTTTTCTACCTGTTCTTCTCACCTGATTGTTGTCAGCTTATTCTATGGGACGATCTTCTTTATGTATTTACGGCCCAGCTCCACATATTCCTTGGAACAAGACAAAGTGGCATCTTTGTTCTACACAGTGGTAATTCCCATGCTGAATCCTCTCATCTACAGCCTGAGGAACAAAGAAGTGAAGGAGGCATTTTGGAGAATGTTTAGAAAGACAGTCTAATGGTGGAGAACAGTTGTGGACAGCCATTTGTCCGAAATGGTATAGGGTTTCCTGCCTGAGCAGGGGGTTGGACTTGATGACCTCCAAGGTCTCTTCTAACTTTACTACTACTACTACTACTACTACTACTACTACTACTACTACTACTACTATTATTATCCCTATATATTCATATATAGTAATTTATATATGTATTCATATATAGTACCTCCATGTATTCATGTATGGTACCTCCAAGTACCATTTTTAACTCAAGATTATTATAGTTGTATTTGTTTATGATTGTTTCATGGGGGGGGAATTATGTCACTGTATTTCAGAAACATAATATAGATTTTTGCACACCTAAAAGGCATGTATGATAACAAAATATTTGTGGACCTTATTTTTCTCCATTAAAGATTGTCTACAAAATCTTATTTATTTTCAAAGGTAAGACATCTATACATCACATGTTTCCAGCCAGGGAGCCTGTTTTGTTCTAAATTCAGCAAATAGCAATAACCTCAAATATAGTAAATATCATAAATATTATTATTAGGTCCTTTTAAAGATGAGTGCCTGGATAAAGTCTTACAGCTGTCTTGGCAACATTTTCAGAAAGTGGCTTGACGTTGCCTCATTCCTAGGGTTGAGAGAGAGTGACCCGCCTCGAAGTAACTCAGATGGCTTCATGCCTAAAACAGGACTAGGATTCATGATCTCAGTTTCTAGTTTTGTGTCTTTAACCATTATACCAAACTGTCCATAAAATAGCAAATAGTTACAAAATGCTTTTGGATGTGATTGAAGATAATGTTGTTACTTACGAAGCCCTACATGGCATAAGACCTGATCACTTGAGGGAATGCTTATTTCCCATCAATCTTATGGGATAGGTATCCTCTGGATTCCTTCAATTAAAAAGAAGATCTGCAAATCAGGATCCCCCCCCCCCTCTCTCTCTGTGTACAGCACCTGCCCACTAGAATAAGTGCTCCAGGTGGGTATCCTCTTATTGGTGTTTTGGAGGACCTGGCTGTTTGCACAAGGCCTTGGGCTGGACAGTTCAAGATTCTCTGGGCTAGCATGGGTATGTTTCTTATAGTTGTCCAACTTTTGCCATCTTTAGTCTCTGTCTTATTGTTGTATTGCTTTCTTGCTATTTTTTCCTGTGATTGTACTTTGTGAACCACCCAGAGTTGCTAGGAGTCAAGTAGTATTTAATAAATAAAATAAATAAAAAATGAATCAAATAAAACAGCATTTAGAAGCGTAAAAAACAGCACAAAAACATGGGATTAACACAGAAAATAGCAGACAGCAGAATAAATGGAGGCTCTATGGAACAAAGGTGACTGCATAAATGTAAATTTTATTTTATTTTCTTAAAGCATGGCATGGAAAGAAAGCTGGTAAGCTGAGTTCTTGAAGTTAGTTTCCAAAATTCTTCATGTTCTTTTGGTGACAGATGATACTGCTATGTTAAAAAAAAACATTAAATATGTATTTGATTGAGGTACATAACTACTGTCCTCCTTTCTTGGACTATTTGAGGGCCAATTGTAATTACAATAGTCAAGATGGGTTATAACCAAGATCTGAATAATCATTGTCATGTCCAAATGTATGCCCCTTTAGAACAAACTCTGTAAATCTCATGGCCAAAGAACGTTTTTCTTTCTTTCTTTCTTTCTTTCTTTCTTTCTTTCTTTCTTTCTTTCTTTCTTTCTTTCTTTCTTTCTTTCTTTCTTTCTTTCTCATGGACACTATTTAAATATAGTACATGTTTCTCTTTAGTTCAGCGATTCTCAACCTGTGGGTCGAGACCTTTTTGGGGGTCGAACAACCGTTTCACAGGGGTCGCCAAAGACCAGTGTTTTTTTTCGTATAGAACGCTCAGAACGGCGTTCCGGCATCTTTTTTGATGGATGTTTTCAACTTTTCCATGAGCTGTGCTACTCCCTCTATTCTATTGGCTTTCGAATGCCAATAGAATAGACTCTATTTGAATAGACTCTTAATCTATTGGCTTTCGAACGCCAATAGGAATTGTCCAGACCTGGCCGTTAAAGGCTGTTTCTGGAGTGCTGAGCGCATCAAAAGTCCCAGCCGGCAAACATTGCTGCAAGTTGTCTGTCTGCAGCAAAGGTGAGTTTGCAGGAACTTTCCACCCATCATTGCTGAGCAACTATGGAACACCATCTTCTACTCTACTACTTGTAAGTAAAAGAGGACCAGGGGTGGGAGGTGGGTAGCAGCACTTAACTCTGCCCTGCCAAAAAAGTGTGCTCACCTCGTGTGCCATCGATGTGGTGTGCGGGTGGTGCCATGGGAGCCACGGGACCCGCTTCACACAACGGGGCTGCGCGGGACAGGTGTCGGCGGAGGTGGTCCTGGTGGGGCAGTGGTGACTGCAGCATTGGGGCCGCAGTCCTGGTGAGCTGACAGCACAAGGCGGGTGCCCGGGAATCCCCGAGGGAGGAAGGCAGGCAGGCAAGTGCCGGGCCGAGGCAAGTTGGGCGTCCCAGGGCGCGAACAATAACCGGCCTCTCTTGGGCATCTCTAAGTACAGTCTGGGGCAAGTGGCACCGCTGACCCTGGAGAGAGACCCCCTTGCTGAAGCCTCCAGGCTTTAAGGGTTCTGCCCAGACACCTGAAGGGAGTGAGGGGAGGCTGGCCTGGCCAGTGCTGGACCTGCGCCATCGCTGCCTCATCCTGAGCCTACATGGCTGCCCGGGAGCGCCTGGCCCACAACGCCTGCTGCCGCCTGGGCCTGCCTGCCATCCGCACCCTCCCGCCGCCCCCCACTGGTGTCCGGCTCGGGCAGTGAATTCAAGTGCTGCACCATCAGTGTGGTGTGCGGGTGGTGCTGTGGGACCTGCTTCACACAGCGGGGCTGCACAGGACAGGCGGCGGCGGAGGTGGTTCTGGTGGGGCAGCGGCTGGCGCTGTGTGTGAAAGTAGCAGCCGGCCAGGCTCTGTGTCATCCACACCTGCAGCATTGGGGCTGCGGTCCTGGTGAGCTGACGGCACAGGGCGGGTGCCCAGGAGTCCCCGAGGGAGGGAGGAAGATATGCAAGCAGGCAGGCAAGTGCCGGTCCGCGGTCCATGCCCTACGGGAGGAAAGGCTCTGCCGAAGAGCAGTGGCAGCGGCAGCGCTGCTGCTGAGCAAAGAGTGGCCATAGCTGGGGGGTGTTGGGGGGACCCCATGTGCACCCCTCCTGGGCTGATGAAGTCAGACGGGAGTCCCCTCTCAGGAGCCCGCCCAAAGCAAACTGGGCGTCCCGGGATGCAAACAATAACCAGCTAATAATAATAACAATAACCCCCTTGCTAAAGCCTCCGGGCTTTAAGGGCTCCGCCCAGACCCCTGAAGGGAGTGAGGGGAGGCTGAAGACCCCTACGGGGCCAAGCCAAGCTTCCCGCAGGTGGCTGGGTGCTTCTCTGCTCCAGTGAGGTCCGAGGGGCTTCCGAGTCAGGCCCAGAGCAGACATTGGCTTTCCTCAGTACAAGTTAAGGTCAGGTTTCCTTGCAAGCAGAAGGGGAGGATATTTTAATTATGTTCAATTTGTAACAATAAAAATACATCCTGCATATCAGTTATTTACATTGCGATTCATAACAGTAGCAAAATTACAGTTATGAAATAGCAACAAAAGTAATTTTATGGTTGGGGGTCACCACAACATGAGGAACTGTATTAAGGGATCGCGGCATTAGAAAGGTTGAGAACCACTGCTTTAGTGTTTGTATGTGTGCATGTATTTATTTGTTTGTTTGTTTATATCCTGCTTTTATTATTATTTTTACAAATAACTCGAAGTGGCAACCCTATTCAACATACCTTCCTCCTCTTGTTTTCCCCACCACAATAATCCTAGCTGAAAGAAAGTGACTGGTCCAAATTCAGCCATCTGGCTTTCAAGGTTAAAGTGGGATTTGAACACACTGTCTCCTGCTTTCTAGCCTAGTGCGTTAACCACTGACTAAACCAAACTATTAATCATTGTAATCACTCTAGGAATAAGAGAGTAGAATAGGTTTTGGCAGGGCTTTTTTTTTCATAGAACGCCCAGAACGGAGTTCCGGCACCTTTTTTAGATGGAACCTTGTAGGATAGGCAAGGCAGGTTATATGATGTGTGTGAGTTCCGGCACTTTTTTTTTTTTTTTTTTTTAGAAAAAAAGCACTGGGTTTTGGGCAGTGGTGGGATTCAAATATGTGAACAACTGGTTCTCTGTGTGGATGCCGCTTCTGGAAGTCCGTTCTGGGCTGGGCAACAAAAAATTAGCTACTGGTTCTGCCAAAGTGGTATGAACCAGCTGAATCCCACCACTGGTTTTGGGCTAATCCAACAATAATTTAGACTGCACGTTTACTAAGTTTAATAGTTTTGATTTATCATAGGGAATCATTAAATATTGCTTGAATATAGCTATACTTACACAATTGCAGTTGGATCAATATTCATTAATTATGACAAAATGATGTGTGTTCCCTGTTGAGTTTGTTTTGAACAAACAGCATAACATTGAATTAAAACTTCAGCATTCAGAGGGTCTTACTTCTGAAAGAAAGTACAAACTCAAGAAGTAGAGATATTATGAAGGAAAATGTATATGCCACGATCACAGAAGGCTTATACTGTAAGTAAGCTTTGGGTAAGCAGATGTTAAGAGTCATGCTGTCTTTTTTAATGTTAAAGGAGTTTTCCCCCTATTGCTAAATGCATAGATTAATTAGAAGATCAGAATAAAGGCATATTCCACTGAATTTTCTTAACAAAATTTAGCCAGAAAATTGGAGTGTCCACTTTTTACAAAGCAACATAGTTTACATGATATGATTGTTGGTATGTTGATCCAAAAATTATAATTTGACCAAGCAGAAGTAGTTAATATATAGTTTGTGAAGAAAGATGAGATCTCATTCACCTGGCATGTTATGTCTGTATCCCACCATATATGTTAACCAAATATGTTTTGCTCTGATGGTTCCGTTCCTTGTGATTAGTCTTCTGAGAAATGCACATCAAACATTTTCCCAAATGAAGGGGGCAAAAGTTAAAAGTGGACAATTCCACATCCAAACACTTCTACTTTCTCTATTTACACCTATAAATGAATCCTCCTGAGCCACAATAAATCTCATTTATTCCCAGAGTAAGAAATTTCCCAATGCAGCAATTAAACTTGCAAAGAATCCTCTCTCTACTTTGGATGGATCTTCTGGGATGCTTTCTTCAAGGGCAATTGCCATGCAGGGGAGGATCACACGGGGATCACAGTTGGTAGATAGGGCAAATATTTCCCTCTGCAGCTTCATCACTTGCATAATTATAAAGAACTCCTTGCTTTTATGCTGCAATTAGATTTGATAAGCAAATAAACTTCTGATACCAAAAGAATCTGATTGCTATTTGAGGGCCACAGTTAGGATAAAATGCTGCACATCACTCAGGGAGACTCTATGGCTACATTGAACCTTAGACTGCAGGTTTCTTGATCTGATCTAAATGTACACCCATGAGATGTGTCAAGATTTCCTTCCTGGTTTTAATTTCCCCAACACATAACATCTAAGAACACTAAAGGTCCCAAAAGAGGTAAAATTATAAATAAAGTATGTTTAGTGCACATGCAGTGTATCAATATCCTATTGATAGCTTAATTTTCTGTTTTACTTATGCAATGGTCTGAATTGAGTCAGTATAGTACTACTGAAGAATAGGAGTATATATTTCTGCGGCTCAGATCAGTATATTAATAAATCTGTTTATTTTTTTTAATCCTCAACAGGAAATTCAGATAGATGGAGAAGTCTTTGTTCAATCACTCAAGAGTCACTCAATTTATTTTTCTGGGTATTACAAGTAAGCCTGAACTCAAACTCCCTTTATTCATTTTGTTTTTTATTGTGTATGTTATTACTGTAGTAGCAAATTTGGGGATTATTTTTATAATCAAATTTGATGCCCGGCTTCACACCCCTATGTATTTCTTCCTTAGTAATCTGGCTTTTGCTGATGCAAGTTATTCATCAGCCATTACTCCTAAAATGTTGGTGGATTTTTTAATGGAGAAGAAAATTATTGGAATATTTGGCTGTGCAGTTCAAATGTTTTTTTGTGTTCTCTGCGGGAGCAGTGAATGTCTCCTGCTGGCTGTGATGGCCTTTGATCGGTATGTGGCCATCTGTAACCCACTGAATTATTCAGCCATCATGTCAGGAAAATGGTGTTTCTGGCTAGTAGCTGTTTCTTATGTTCTAAGCATTTGTTATTCAGTTTTATATATTGTGTGTGTCTTTAGTCTACCCTTTTGTGGACCAAATGTGATCAATCATTTTTACTGTGATATTCCTCCACTGCTAAAACTTTCATGCTCTGATACTCGCATTAATCAGATAGTAATATTTGTACAAGTAAGTATAAATTATATAAGTACAACAGTGGTTATTCTGATTTCATATGCCTGTATTCTGTCTACCATTCTGAAGATCCACTCCAAAGCAAGCAAATCCAAAGCTTTTTCTACCTGTTCTTCTCACCTGATTGTTGTCAGCTTATTCTACGGGACAATCTTTTTTATGTATTTACGGCCCAGTTCTACATATGCACTAGAGGAAGACAAAGTGGCATCTTTGTTTTATACAGTGGTGATTCCCATGTTGAACCCTCTCATCTACAGTCTGAGGAACAAAGATATGAAGGAGGCATT